CGGAGGGGGGGGGTCTCCGGCAGAGCAAATGCGCACAGAGCCCGCCTCTGCCGGAGGAAGGCTCCTCCCTGCCTTCCTTAGCCTGTCACTGTCTCCCCTGCCAAGGAAGATGGGGAGGCCGGCTTTCCAGGGGGAAAGACCTGGCCCGCTTCAGTACCTAGGCCAGGACTCCCGTCCCGGGGTGGGAGATTGGCCACACACCCAGCCACGCTGGGAACTGAACACTACCCCAGCTGTGCTTTGTGGCTGGGGATGCTCTCCCTAGCCCCTCCTCGACTGGAGAATCTAATTGTTCCTTGGGTGGTAGCGCCTGGGCACCTTGGATTTCTGAAAACACGTGCAGCGCTTCCAGCCTTGTGTCAGCTCATCTCTCCACCAGTCTGAAGGAGAAACTCTACTGAAGTGCATCCGAAGGAAAGAGACCCAACCCTTGTCTTGAAAAGAAATAAAAACAGGAAAAGAAGTCAACAGCTTTACCTTGTAAACAAGCTGAGCGCTTTACTTTGGTTTCCTGCAAGGACACAATTGTGTTAAAAACATCATTTCACTTGCTACTTTGGGTGCAGTTGGATTTCTTGCCTGTTTCTCTGAGTTAGGACCATTACAAGCAGTCCTGTTTGTCCCAGTTTTGCATATACTGTAGTCAGTTATGCTTTCTGCGTGCAGAACGTTAGTGACTCGTTTTTCTAATAGTCAAAATATTTACACTGGGCTGACACTTTATGTTAAAAAAATCTAGTTTAAATTGAGCTCCAAATTTAAATTGGGGTGGTCCCTTAAATTCTTCCCCTGTGTTCAGGAAGTAGGAAGATACTGTCAGATGTAAAGGCTTCTAATCAAATGAAGCAGCGAGAAGTCCTGTGGCACCTTATAGACTAACTGAAGTGTTAGAGCATAAGCTTTCGTGGGCAAAGACCCACTTGGTCAGATGCATCTGATGAAGTGGGTCTTCGCCCACGAAAGCTTATGCTCCTACACTTCGGTTAGTTTATAACAGTGGTCCCCAACCTTTAGAGGCTCCCGGGTGCCCGGGAGGTGGTGCCACTCACGTGCCGGGCACCCGGGAGGTGGGGGCCACTCACACGCCGGGCGCCCAGGGGCAGGGCCGTGCGTCCGGGGGCACCCCAGAGGACTGGGATTGTGCCCCAGGGCTGGGGCCACCCGAGCGCCGCGTACCAGGCGCCGGTGCGTGTCATGTGCCTGGGGCCGGCGCCTCCAGTGCGCCACGCGCCGGGGGCAGAGCCGGCCCAGGTTGTCAGCGGGCGCACACAAATGCCCCGGCGGGCGCCATGGCGCCCGCGGGCACCGCATTGGGGACCACTGGTCTATAAGGTGCCACAGGACTCCTCGCCGCTTTTGCAGATTCAGACTAACACGGCGTCCCCTCTGATAATCAAATGAAAAGGAAGCTATTTATCATCTATCCAGTGTTTTTAAACTACTTTACTGTCTATATGAACTTGAAGCAAAAGTTATCAGAGCGGGCGCCATGGCGCCCGCGGGCACCGCATTGGGGACCACTGGTCTATAAGGTGCCACAGGACTCCTCGCCGCTTTTGCAGATTCAGACTAACACGGCGTCCCCTCTGATAATCAAATGAAAAGGAAGCTATTTATCATCTATCCAGTGTTTTTAAACTACTTTACTGTCTATATGAACTTGAAGCAAAAGTTATCAGACTTTACATAATGAATGTGAAGACCAACATAAGAAAATAAGAACGGCTATATTGGGTCGGACCAAACGTCCATCTAGCCCAGTGTCCTGTCTGCCAACAGTAGCCAATGCCAGATGTCCCAGAGGGAATGAACAGAACAGGAAATCATCGCGGTTCCTAACTTCAGACAAACAGAGGCTAGGGCCACCATTCCTACCCATCCTGCATAATAACCATTGATGGACCTAACCTCCATGAATCTACCTAGTTCTTTTTGAACCCTGTTAAAGTCTTTGTCTTCACAGTGCCTTCTGGCAAGGAGTTCCACAAATTGTTCCATGCAAGGATAAATGTGTGCTGTGTCTCATTAAATCTGTCACCTGGGCCAGATGGAGACAGGTCTTCAGTGAAGCCAGGGATAATGTTCTTCTAATAAACTTTCTTGTTCAGTGTTAGAAGATAGCAACTTTTTCTCCAGTTCCTTTTCATGGTGTAGTATGCTAGCAGAATCAGAATAATGGAGGTGTTTCCCCATGCTTTGAATTGCCTCCATCATTCTTCCTTCCCCCATTTGCTCCTCTTTTTGTACATTGCGTATGCAACATGCATTTGAACATGCCCTCTGTTAATTGTGCAGGCACAAACAAATTAAAATAAACCCTCAAAATATGAGAGACACCAAACAATTTTGGAATAACTGCAAGCTCCTAGACCCACTTGGCATTTCATGCAAACCCACTGCTCCTGCATTTTCTCTCTTGGCTCTTAACAAAAGTGGGTCACTGCAGTGGTGGAGGCCTGAAAAAGCCACCTCAGCTGGGGCTGATGTACAACCAAAAAGGGAATCCCCCAAACTACCTAGCTTCTTCTATGTGCTCAACGGGTGAGTCTAGAAAACTTGCTTCACCCTTTTAGAGCAGGAGTAACACCTGCTAACACAATGGTGTGTGTCAGGCAAACCCTGCCAGCCTATCACAGTCACCAAATGAGTTTCCTTGATTTCCCTGTCTTAGCTTGAACCTATGGGAGGGACAGAAGGAGAGACGGTAGGAGCCATGTTTGCTTTTGTCGACAGAAGTTTTGTCGACAGATATTGTCGACAAAGCTTCTGTTGACAAAGAGCGTCTAGACTACATTCAGTTCTGTCGACAAAGCAAGCTGCTTTGTCGACAAAACCCTGTAGTCTAGACACAACCCTAGATGCAATAACACCTTCTGTCGACAGAACTCTGTCGACAAAAGACGTTATGCCTCGTAAAATGAGGTTTACCAGCGTCGACAAAACTGCTGAGTTCTGTCGACGTTATGCCGACAGAACTCAGCGGTAGTGTAGACGCAGGTATAGTTTTGTCGACAAAAGTCCACTTCTGTCGACAAAACCCTGTAGTCTAGACACACCCTAAGAGTATGTCTATACTACAGAGTTTTGTTGGGAAAATGGCTGTTTTTCTGACAAAACTTGAGGAATGTCCACACTGCAATTGCGTTCTTCCGCAAGAAAATCGAAAGAACAGGGTAGGTTTTCCAGCATTGGTAATCCTCATTCTACGAGGAAGAAGCCTTTTTCCGAAAGAGCTCTTTTGCGAAAAGGGGTGTGTGGATGGGGAAGATGGAGTTCTTTCGGAAGAAGGGGGAAGAGGAAAAAGCACAGGTGCTCTGGTGGCCATTCCATCCATAGCAATCACAACTGACATGTGAGAGAGCCTCTATTCAGTCTGGATGCCCTCTTTCAAAAAAGCAGATCACTTTTTCGATGCACTTTTGTGGATGCTCTCTTTTGGAAGAAGGATTTTCGGAAGATCTCTTCCGAAAAAAATCTTCTTCCGAAAAAAGTCTGTAGTCTAGATGTAGCCTCAGAGGGAAAGGGGAAGAAATACATATATAGATCCATGGACTTCAAGGCCAGAAGGGAGCATCGTGATAATCAGTTCTGACTTCCTGCAGACTGCAGGCCACAGAACTTCTCCCAGTCACACCTGTCATAGATAGGAATATTGCAAAAGCTGAGCAGCAGACAGGGAAACAGGAAAGGGGAGAAATAAGAACCCTGAAAGCAGAAGCAAGGATCAATATTGTATCATCAATTACTAAAGCAAATTATCTGCTCCCTCGGAGAATTTTATAATCTTTCAGTCCATATTTTCAGTGATAAAATATATAGGGTACAATTTCCAAGGGGCAAAATTTTAAAACCATAATGCAGTGATGGGATTCAAACTCATAATTTTGCATAATTGCTGTCCTAATCCATCCTAGTCCCCTTTCCGTTCAGTGCCTCCCATAATGATAAATTATTTTGAATGAACTTTCAGTTGTATTTGGAAAAGCAAAATCATC